TTCCATGAGTTCGGGTGTGGATATTTGAAACAAAAAAGAAAAAAAGAAAAAAATATATATATATAAATGGTTGTAGAGTTTTCCTAGCTGGAAAAGTTCTCTGCCGGATCAGCACATAAACTAAATATTATATATTATTCGGCACAATGGGGCATGTTGCATAGAAACATTATGTATGCCAATGAAAACAGCAAAAACATTGGCTACAACCCTTGCTCGCCGTTGTCGCTGCTGCTCCTTGCCTAGTCACGTGACTAACGGTGAAATATTGGGCTAAAAAGCGGGTATGAGGCTGTGAGCAACGCAACGCTTTACATACAAACGGGGGTGCACACGAAATTTGAACAAAGTGCCATCGGCAGCAACAGTTGCTACAAAATTTATGATATTTTACTTTTTAGTTGGAAAACTTATTAAACTAAAATTTTGCACATTATTTAATAACAAAGACAACAAATGCACAACCAAGTTAAAATTATTATAATAGGTAAGTATGTATGTAAGTGTGTATGTATGTATATGAGGATACTTTTAGAACTTGTGAATATATGCACACAGCTAAAGGTGATTTTGTATAATATATAGAAATACAAAAATGTTTTCGCAAGTGGCGGTGGAGCTTATAAGGCTGAAATGAGGCTGGTTTCATAGCCGTCGCGTAGTAGTTGCAAGTATTGTACAACAAAAGTATGCAGCACAGTGAGTAGCAGAAAATGGTTCCCCCCTCGTCTTAATTGTTAGTTATCTTTTAATATTTGAAATTACTTTTTCTAAATGCGGTCGTTCTGGGCATTCCTCTTCTGCCCTGGGATAAGAGCTTTTTATAAAAATTCATAAGTCATTCGGAACCATCTCAGAAAAACTGTATGTTGCGTGTATATTGTATATATATATATAAATATATTGAATTTAATATTTTAAAAATATTTAGAACAAATTTCAGACGCCTAAATTGTGTAAAAATTGAAAATTTTACTCCGCGTAGTTATTCTGTTCCTTACTGTGTGTATATATGTAATCATTATTGGCCTCCACTTGCCTTCATTGGCCGGGCCATTTGCCCAACTTCACAACACTTTTAAGTGGCTTTAATGAACTGCAAAAGTGTGGCAATAATGTTGGTCGACGCTGAACAATTTTTGCCTAATGGCAGGAAGTGGAATCATTAGAGGAAGCTAGTGCCTTTTTATGACCGCGGGAGTTTGTAGAGTTTTTTTTTTTCGAAATATCGCATTTTCCATTCACCGCTGACCAGTTTCATTTAACGGTTACTGCATAAGCAAATTAGTTTCTGATAAAAATTGCCAAGTCGTTTGGAGAAGTGCACGTCAGTGAGTGTGTATGTATGAAAGCGAATCATTTTTGGTTATTTTTGAAATTCTTTGAAGAATTTGACTTAAAATAACACAATTTCAAATTTCCATACAAATTCAGGAACTTTTTATTTATATTTATTCACATGTATTTGCACAGTTTTTGTAACAAATAACACAATTACGTCTTTTGATGTTGATAATAATTTTATGGAAACGTGATGCTGATATGAGTACTAAGCAGAAAGCACTTTATGTCATTTCACGGTATTTGTAGACGTAAAATATAATATACAGCTAAATATTTACATACATACACACGTGCGAACCAATTGTTTGCTTTTGCTAATTTGCATTTGGCTTAGATTATTTATCTAGCTGTACTGATCAGTATGCACGTTCGAATGTATGTATGTATGTCTGCTTTGCTGCACTATCGAGCAGGTGTGTTTTTGCATTGATTGCACTTTGCTTTTATTCAATATTTATTTTGTTAACCACAAGTGTACAGTTGTAAATATAACTAGGCAACTGTTAATAAATTTAACAGTGTTGTACAATAAATCCTCTACCAATTTCACATACGACATACAGATTTTAGCTCAATAACTGTACTTGGTAAGACCATTGGAGAGTAGAGAGTGGGGAGTGGTAAATTTGAATTTGCCCATCATCTTAGCAATTGAGATTTATATTTTTTTTATAAATATTTCTTGTTTTTTTAAGTCTGAATAAATAATATGCACGATTGCGGCATTACATTAATTATCAGGTTATACGTTTATTTCATGCCTTTCATCGAAATTACAGGGGTTCAAAAGGCGTTTTCACGATTTTTTGCCATATTTGCGGTTGCTTTAACGCTCTGCCGTGATGATTCAATATTTTGCTAATAAGCGCGTTATTAATAGTTGAACAAAAAATCTTACTGCTATGGGCTTATAAATTAAAAAGTGGAAATCATCCTTTAACTACTACCAATACCATGATCCAATCATTTTTCGAGTTTTCGAGAGTTACAAAATTGTTCACTCATTTCTGGTAATTTTCAAGTAAACCGTGGTCGTAACAAATTTGTTGCATGCTCAATGGACTCGCCTAGTTAGCCTAGATATTGGTCCGTTAAAGCTTCCAGTTCTTCTGTTCTTGAAACTGTTTGTCTTCAACGCTAGAATCACAACTTTTAAAGCATCGAACCCAAACTCTACATGACTTATGGGTCGGTGCAAATTGACCAAAAATTTCAAAAGCATTCGATGGGCTTCAGCTGCACTTTCTTCCAATTTAAATAGAAAATGAAAGCTTTACGAAAATCATGTTAATTTAAAACAAATACGGACATTTTTGAAGAAGCAAAAATCAATGTTTTTGCCAGAAACAGACGCTGATGCACATTAATTGTTGCTGGATGTGAAGCTTTTCCTATGAAATAAGTAATTGCTTTTAAGATCAGTCACAACTGGCATGTTGAGCCACCTTTTGAGAACATACCGATTTCTTTGTACACTCAATATGCTAAATTAAGGTCGTTATCAAGTGATTGTTCGATCAAAGTACATATGTAATGTTTTGAAGTGTAACTGCATTTTTGGTTTTCTTGCTATATATTCAGTCATCAAAACTTCGTGTGCCAGTCATTGAACCACGGATGTTGACTTAATCAGCTAGTGCTCCACCAACCACTATGGTAACAGCGGCCATAAAACCTTTTGTTTTATTCTATTTGAAATCTATTTTTCATAAAATTTTTGGGTATTTAAATTTATTTTGTGCAAAATACCCAACGTTTTCATGCTGTACTCCGCTGTAGTCTTCCTAAATCTCTTATGAACTTCTACATTTCATGCATACAATAATTTTTAATATGAAACTGATAAACAGTTAAATTCATATCTATTAATATAAATATATAAATTCATAAAATCTTTGTACTTGAAACTTGCTGCACAGTGATTTTCTCTTAGGTTTCAATTTGGTTGGGTTCAGTCTCATGTCTCCGTATTTCATAATACCAGCCGATTTCTTTGATTGATCAGTAAAGCATATACAGCTCAGGGGAATGGAAATGCTCTGAATAACACAATGCACAATGCAGCAGTTAATATTATTTGACTCAATATTTTGGCATTGTGAATCGAAATTATATTTACTGATTATTTTTCCTTTTAATTTTCCAAAGAAATCGAGAATTGCATTCCAATGGCTTGGAGAAAAAGGGTTAAATAAATAGACTTATCACAATTTCGAAATCATCAAATATCAAATAGCTCATGAAAAAACGATAAGATCAAAATTACGAGTTAAGTAAATTAGCTACATATAAACGCCTGTCTGTCTGTTTGTACGCAAACCAGTCCCTGAATTTTTTTAGATATTTCAACCAAACCCAGAAGCACTGAAATAAATATTTCACTGCTTGATATAGGACCACTACATCATATATACGACCGATTTCGCGGATTTTGTCATAAACATACAGATAAATACAAATAAATATTGACACTGAAAATCATCGAAATTGAAAAGCTTCTTCCAACCGAATTTTCAGAAATCAGAATTAATACTTAGCCCTAAAGTGAAATACAGTGGATTTGTTATGACCATTAAAGGTATAAAGACTTCGGCGGTATCGAATACTGCCGCTCTTTCTGGTGTTTGAAGGAACTGCGGCACTAGTTCCCTACCATATCGGAATCAATTCATATTAGTGCGAGGTGAACTTTATCTCAGCGTCACTTGGGATTAGACATTTCATTTTGAGAAGCGGAAATACAAGTGTAGTTTTTATTGCTGGCTGTGCTGGCTTTGAGAGAAAAATATTAAGAAGATAACAGCTGTTATTTGTCTATTATTTATTTAACTCTTTATTTTGAGCGTTTCGTATTTAAGAAATGGAATTAGATTTGCGACAAGGCGATGCCAAATTTGAAAATGAAAATTTTATTTTAGAATGGTCTCATAGACTTTGGAAATGGAAAGTAACTTTTGAAGTTTTCCACTTGTGTTGCTCTATGACATATTTCTGCTTAGCCTTAGTTTTTCCAAAAATCCCATTGAAGCTTTTTGTGCTCTAATTGACTGGTCGAGAGTAAGCAAAATAATACCGCGGAGTGCAAAATTTTACCCCGTCCAAAAAAAATTTCCAACTGCTCCTACTTGTAAATATGCAAAATGTGTATGTATATGTTATAAATAACGGTTTTACTGTTATCAATATTCATGTGCCACTTCCGTTTAACTACCTTTCAAGGTATTAAGGCACTGTAAAGCATCAACTGCAAATTAGTCCCGGTAGCTCAGTTACCATTTTGTGTGAAAGTAGCTATGTTTGTATTGGGCGGGAACAAGGATGCTCTCAAGGCGAGAGAGTGAGGGAAGTAGTGTAAAGAATTGACTTAAACGCTGTTAAGCGACACCTGCGTTCACAGCACAGCAACAACCAAAGCGGCTAAGTAAAATACGAGTATAATATAATCCATTTACATACATATATGCACATACATACATACATATATACGCACAATACATGCTAATTTGATTATGCTGCTTTGGCGGTTATGAATATGTACATACTCGTATCTATTAACATGCTTACATAAGAGTGTATTTCACGCATACGTGTATGCAGATATGAGTATGTATCATGTGTGATTATAAAGAATAACAGAGTTGTGTTGGTGCACTTACCTTTTGACACGTAATTGTATACGGTAATAGAATGATTAACGCTGATCTGCTTTGTGGCGTGTGTGTGTGTATGTGCGCGGCAGTAAACTTGCTTGCTTATGTTGTATATATGTGTGTGCTTTTAGTCTTTTAATTTGATTGCATGCAGCTGTAGTAGTAGTAGTGATAGTGGTAGTTGTAGTAGTAGTATATACGTGTGTGTATATTTGTCGGTGGTTACCGTTAGCACTTTTCTATTCTTTTGGCATATAATTAAAAACTTGCTGCTAGTTATTGTAAATTGTTGTTGTAATTTGTCTCAATTTATTATTAACTGTTGCTTAACAATTTAATTAATTAGTAATTTTGATGCTTAAATATTCGTGGCATATAAATTGTGAGATTTTCTCCACTTAACGGTTGGCGTCAATGTCTTCCCAATTTAACTTAAATAGTTTGTGATTATTTGTTGCACCTGTAATTAGAGAAAAATGAAAAAAAAAAACGTATTAAGATTCGTCAGACTTTTTGATATTAATTAAATTATTAGCAACAACTAAATGGTTGAGCCTTTCGTGGAAACTTTTCTGAATAATCACGATAGTTTTGCTTTCGCTATGGTGGAATGGGGGTTTCCAATTTTTAATAGCTCTAAATATATTTGTAATATGTTGGCGTGGCAATGCTTGTTTTGAGTTGTTTAATAAAACGCCTCGCAATGAAATTTTCTTCGCTTACGTTGTTTGAAACTTAAGAGGATTCATTTGGTTACGTTTAGCTTTGGGACTTCAGTGACTCCTATTGTCTCCTATGAAGTCATGGTAGGGTGGGGAAGGAGCAGCTGTTGAGAAACACCACAGCTGAAAACACAGGCATAAAATAATATGGTTTATCTTTTTTATTTATTATTTTGGTGACATCCCCACTCGGCAGGGAATGTCAAGTTCTCTGAGTGTATTTCTGAAAAGAATTAATAAGCTCCTCATAAAAAAGAGCATCAGCTGCTCGGAGGCGGCTTAGTATAAACTGTAGGTCCCTCCATTTATTGGAAAGTGATCAAAACACAAAACCACAAATCGGAGGAGGAGCTCGGCCGAAAATTATTTGAGAGCGTATAAAGCGCCATTTATTTATATTGTATATATATGTATATTGGTTGTAATTCAGAATGTTGCTCAGTACATTCAGTCAGCTAGTCGTCAGCGCTGCTTCATATACCACAAACCCTTCTTCTTCAAAGTCACCCGTACGCTAGTATGGGTCTAAGGATACTTGTTTAACGCCAATGCAGAAGATATTCCAAATCCGGAGCGCTTTTCTGGCACTTCTTTCAAAATGCTCCCTCCAGCTAAGTTTCTATTTTCGAGTATTTCACCGAGATACTAAACTCAGTTGAAGGGAATTATAATGTTCCTATTTGAAGATGGTGGGTTGATTTCTATGTCAGATTTTTCCGAATTTACTGAGGGTTCTTGTACCTCCGTCCAATCAGCTGCGACTTCTTTAAGGCCCGTAGAAGTAAGTAGTTTGGTAATCACTGGTTTATCAAAGGCAAACACAAAAGCGAAGGTAAGATGCTCTCTTGCGCATTTCCACATATGATTTTGGAATGATTTTTAACACTTAAATTTTTATAATTATAATTTATTATTCAGTTTTTCGTTTTGGTCTACCATCATAATTTATTGGGAGCCCCCCTGCGGGTTAGGGGCTCAAGAATTTACCCGCGGTAAGGCATGCCTGTCGTAAGAGGCGACTAAAATCCAATAGTTCTCGCGACAGTCGGGTCTTTACACCGGAACGACCCGGATTTTTATCCGGCCAAGGACTGTCACTCCCGCAATATTCCCCAAAAAGTACTTTGGGGAATAATTTTGCGGTTACAACAACAACACATTGGGAGCCATTCAATAGTTGTTAACTCAAAACAGATCTCTATATGGCATTCAATGTGTTTTTCTGATTTCAAATATGCATTAATTATTTGTTATTTCCCCCTCACTTTAATGCGAAAGCAGAAATATTTAATTACCGGAAACCAATGAAAAAAATTGTCATCGCATTGAAATGTTTACGCAATTAATACTAATTCGAGCGACCGAGCGAGCGAGTGAATTAAGGCAAATCACCCAACAAAATGCAATCACGAGGCATTCGAAAATACAAATTATGAATTGTATAACGTTACATTTTCCAATTGAGATTGTGAGTGGGATTAAAAAACAAATATTTCTAATTAATAAATATTTAATGAAATATTGTGTGATTGTGAGAATTGCCAATTCGAAATGATGAAATTCATGAAATTCGTTCGCAGTAATAAATTTACGGCAATTGCTCAATTTCATTGGGAAGCATACAAGCAAACATACATACGAATAGAAACAAGTGTAGTTGCGATCTAACTGTCATACATACACCTATGTATTGTATGTATGCAGAATAGAAAATAACGGTACAAAACGAATATATGTATCTAACATGAGCAATTAGTAGCCTTATGATGTAATTACATTTAATTGTGCAAATATTGTCAACAAAAAGACATTCTACAATAATTGGACATACATACATACATACATATGTAGGTAGAGATGTATCAGGTGGAACTATCAAATCAAAATCAGCAGCAAAATAACAAATCAACAACAAATGAATATTCATGTTCAACGTTAAGAAGGAGAGATTGAAAGGAACAATATTGCGGTATGTCAAAATAGAAATTTCCAAATGATAATTGCCGGAATTAAGAGGAGCGTGCTGCTGCTGCTCATACTCGTAAGCACACACGACACTTGGCATTAAAATGTCCATCATGATGATTTGTTTGGATGTATTAGGGTCGTTCAACGTGCACACACAAATCAATCTTTTTATTTATCTTATGTATGGTTGTAATTAACGGTAGTTGCTCAGTAAATATGAATAAAGAAATTATGGTTTTGGTTTATATTAAAATCGATTAATAATTACTTGCGTAAAATTAATATCTTGCAAATTTTCTTTACTTAAATTAAAAAGAAAAAAATTAAAAAAAATTTCCTTTTTTAATTAAACAAAATAAAATTATTACTTCCAGAAATAATTAATTAAAAATTTGAATAAAAACTACGATTTTGAATAATAACTAAAAAACAGAAGCGGAATTTAAAAATAACATGCTGATCAAATAACACTATAAAACTCTTCGAGTAAAATAAAATGAGTCAACATTTATGTCTTGAATTTCTTTGTGTGATTTTTGTTATTTAAATACCATTCTTCATCATAAATAATAATTTTAATAACTTGAGTACCTTTCTCTATACATATTAATCCTAAAAATCAATTCAGCCATTCAATACTCAGTTTCTTTTATACATTATAGCTTAATTAATTTTCTTCAACTATGTTAATGGCAACCGTTAACAAAAATATCACCTACATAATAAATTTGTCTTAGTGATGTCCATATTGACGCTCACATTCCTTTAATTCGTTTATTTTATCGGTTTACTAAAATAACGTTTTTGAACACGTTACAACACTTGTCAAATACACGTATATTTCTTTAATATGCCTTCGCGGTAATTTGTATCTATTGAATATCTTCTTCCTTGTTTTTTACATATTGAACGTAGTTTTTGCCACCCTAATGTGCTACTTATCATCGTCAGACGCGTTTGCTCATCTAAAAAAGCACCTTTCATTCATCGCAATGAGCTGAGAATGACTTTTCGGTTATTTAGCAACAGTGATTCTTGACGCCCCCAACAAAGCGGCTTTCAGACGTCAGTGCAACAATTATCTTGAATATGTAAATAAATATGAGCTTGTGTTGCACATATGTATGTGGCGGAGTGTGTGTGTGTTTATGAGTGTGTTTGTTGTTATTGTCAGCAATTGTTGGTGTTTGCATTTGTCTTGGCTGTCATTCTTCAGCACAGCGTCGTCGTCACTTGTCTGACAAAATGACGTGATCAGTTGTGTACTAAGTTCGCATGTATCCGAACACAGAAGTTCATGTTTGCACATACAAAGAAATATACATATGCACATATCTACATACAATAATAAATATGTAATCACAATTTACCGCTATGCAAACAAGAATTTCTTTTAATGAAGCAACAACAGCAGTGGTAGCAGCAGCAGCATCAGCAGCAACACAAACAGTTTGACAGCCAATGAAACTGATATGTACATATGATATTAATATGTATATGCATAAACATATTCACTCAGAAGAACAACAGTAAGAAATTAATATTATAATAACTCTATTACACACGTCCCACTCAGCGCTCTAGTCAGCGAGTGAGTTATCAATTTTGAGTGGAATTTCATGATAATTCGAATTTCGTTTCCAAGTAACTAATTATGCAGTTTTGGCTATTCACTTTAACAAATACTCGCTTTTGTTGGATGCAGTTCAAATTCCTAAAATGCCTATTATTTAGTTGAATTAATATATATGCGTGTATGCACGGATAAATATGGGAATGTGTAATGTCCTTAAGGAATTGATATTTAAACAAAATATTTATTATTACATTAAGTTGGAATTGAAATATCTTTGTTGTTAATGATACGTCTTTGACTTGGAATGAGTGAATTTCTACAATAACTTGGAATTTTGTGTTAAACAATTATTTTTGTAATTTATATACCAATTTAAATAAGACTCCTGCCATTGGGATGATACTTGAACAATTTATTGCATACTTTGTTTGAGTTTAGTTGAGATGTATGTGCCATTATTACAAAAAAAAATTATAGAAATGTTAAATTCAAAAGCATTTTTTTCTGAGGTTATGTTGTTCACCGGATATTCAGATTCACTTTCCGCTCTTAATTCCATTGCCGACATAAAAAACTATTGTTACTATGCCACCCAAATCAGAAATATTTTATCACAGCACTACCGAAATATCATGTTAATATGGCTGCCTGCACATACAAATATATCTGGCAACAACCGCGTCGACCAAGCCGCCAAGCAAGCGAACCAAGGTCCAGTTATCTGTGCAGAAAATTTAAACCTTTGAGATGTTAAAAACCATATCAGCAGGCTTCGAATGGAATCTGAACAATAATTGATACAAAAGCTTAAATTACGCAAAGGCCCACCTAATGAATTCGAGCGCCATAGAATAGAACACCCCAAACAAACACAAGGACATCTTATGAACAACTCAACCCCTATCTACTGTACTTCCGCAAATATCATAGTCACAGTTAACCACCTTCTACTTAGCTGCCCACTGAATGCCACCCAAAGAAGACGAATTTTTTCTGACACGAACCCAATTTCTTACCGCTCTTAATAACCGATTCTCTCAAAAGAACAAATATTTTGCATTGGATTTAATCTAATTTTAGGAATCTAAATTCAAAAAGTAAATATGTACATATGATAAGTAAAAACGTAAATATGTATTGAGCTTAAGGCCTAGTAGCTACAGCTCCCAAACAAAAAACTTATAAGATTTATGT